TAGGGCGCTGAAGAACATGCAAGGTCTGTGGACTAAGCTTTGCTGGTTGGGCTACCCTCCTCCGGGCAAGTAGGTCAGAGGATAATTTGTGCAGCCACTTCCAATACGATGGCGGATGTTACTAATTTATGCTGAAGTGGCTGAGATCAGGACAGGAGGAGAGCTTGAGGAAATAGAAGCCGGCCCTATGCAAGTATGATTCCATAAATGGGGAGCTGGCGCCCCTTGAAGGACAGAAATGGTCACTGCAGGTGGCCGATATCCCTGTCAAACAGCCGTTTTCATGTTTTCTGCCACGGCAGGTGCTGGAGGAGAGCCGGCAAATGCATTGGCTGGCGAGAACGACAAACACAAAGCGGAGGGCAGAAATGGAGAAGAGGAAGACTTGTGGGAAGGACCGATGGACCGATTCCACCAGGGAGTCCCTGGCCCGGCTTTACACGGGCTCGCCTGGGCTGTGAGGGATGGGACATTTTGGAGGGCGCTCGTGCGTAGGGTTCCTGTAAGTCAGAGACAACCTGATGGCACATAGAAGGAAGCACCAGTGGGGAGCGCTTCCCCCACTGATATGAGCAACAGTAGCCCCACATTTTTCAGAAGTTTATGGGGAATTTGGGGAGGGGGGGCTGCATGGACAGGGCGCAGTGGCCAGGCCTTTGGGGGACCAATAGACCCCAACACTCAAGTTCACTGTGTCCTGGAATAACCCTCCACAGCCACTGGGGGACCCCCCCTTCCTGGGATGCACTAAGCAGACACTCTTTTGTTCAGGGCCTTCTCTGCGGTGGCACCCCAGCTGTGGAATTTGCTCCCCAGAGACGTTTGCCTGACGCCGTCACTTTATTCTTTTCAGCACCAGGCCAAAAACTTTTTATTTTCCCAATGTTTTAAGACCTGACTGTTTTAATTTGGGGATTTATTCTTAGTTGAATTGTTGGGATGCTGTGTTTTTTGTTTGTTTTTTTTTTTACACATTTTGTATTGTTAAACCATCCTGAGACTTCGGGAATGGGACGGTCCAGAAAGGCCTTAAATAAATAAATAAATAAATAAATAAATAAATAAATAAATAAAACATTCAGGTGGTGCTGGGAAAAGGGCGCAGGAATGTCCTGCCCCGGCACAGGGAGCGTGTCCGTCGTTTGCCCGGAATGGGAATGCCGCACTGGGTGGCCGGTCCGCGCTGGGGGTGCTGGACTTCTCTTCAGCGCTTGCCCTGCCTCCCGTGCTCCCCCCTTTCCTGTAGGAAACTGCCCGGTGAGAGTCCTGCAGGCAGGCGTCGTGCCCCGTGGTCCCCAGGCAGCAGGCAAAGCAGGTGAGGGAGGGGGAGCCGAAGCTGCCGGGGGCACGCCGGAGCTGCGAGTGACAGGACCGGGGCCCAGGACCAGGACCCTGCCCAGCACGCCTTCGGGGCCGGTGCGCTTAAGCAACATGGCATGTGCCCCTCCTGCAGCCGGGCATCTGTGCAGGTCCAGCCGCACTCTAGAAAGACCCCCCCCCGCCCCGCCCCACACACCCCTCTTCCTGCACTGGAGCAGCGCCTCCCTCTTGCTCCCAGCGGGCTCTTGCATCTCCTCCCGACTCTCATCTCGCTCCGCCTCCGCCTTGGGCCTCAGAGGTCCCCTCCGCCCATGCCGCTCTCTCTAGAAGCACAGGTGTGGAGGGCACGTGTGAGGTCACCTGGCCCGTTCTCTGCCAGGCACCTTTTTCTGCCTGAGCCTGCCAAGTCCCAGCCACCACAAGCCCGAAGAGTTTGTAGTGCACCATGTGGTTGTGAGAATGATGTGCAGCTGGAGATGCTAGCATGCATGTATCAGTATTATATGTCGTACATTCTAGGCCAGAAGCCCGGGTCACTCCGAGGTTCTGTCTGCCTTCTACTCCGCGTGTGTGTTAAATCTGTGCTGGTTTCAAGCTAGGGCTGCTTGTTAAAAGCAGGGCAAGGCAGGGCAGGTTCTGCCAGGGACCACGTGCTCTTGGAAATGGGTGAGACTCAAACCGAGCCTCTGTGCAGAGCCATTAGTCTGGGCGAAAGGTGCTCTCTGGGCCCAGCACCAAAGCCTGCATGCAGAACTTCTTGGCCTCCTCCAGCTGCGAGACACCTACTCCCTCCAACCACGCCGCCAGAACACTTCGTGCAGCCAGGAGCACCGAGCAGGATTGATACAGAAGCCAAAAAGAAACTGCAGGGGCGACCAGAGAATTGCACGCTGCGCTCGCGCCGTAACTTAGCTGCACATAGTTAGAGCAATCATTGCCGCTGATGCATGCATGGCATTATTGGGGTGCAAGGACTGCCTTTGCCCAGTCTTTTGCGGGGAGACCCAGAACTCCGCCCTCCGCCTTTCCACCCAGTTTCCAGTCCTCTGCTTTTATCGTCAACCTCTTCTCTGCCATCTCAGTGACCCCGAGAGCAAGGAGGCCCATTTCGCAAAAGGCCAGCGGCGACAGACTGGAGGAGGAAGACGGGCCTCTCCAAGGCTGCCCGGGGCCCCTGCGCTGCTCACACACAACGCAGACAACGCAGTGGCATCCCAGGCTCAGAGGCTCACGCAACTGGGCCAGCTCCACAAGAGCATGGCCAGGAGTGCCAGTCGGGGGGGGGGGGGGATCCGTAGTCCCTTCCCACGGGACACACAAAACGGAGGAAGTGAATCCCACAGGCAGCCGCTGGTTTCAGCCTGTCGGAGAGGCTGGGCCAAAGGAACACCTTGCTCAAATTAATGCGGGCACCACAGCCAAGCGGCATGTCACACGAAGCTGAATCCAGCAGGGAAAGAGCACCTGGGTGTGTCTGCGTGAGATTCAGAGTAGAGGAATAATCCCAGGCAGCCCAGCCCGTCCCCTCCCCTCCCCTCCCCTCCCCTCATTGCTCTCGCCTGTTCCCACCCAGGGTGGAATTTCCTGTGGGGAACAGAAGAGGACCGGAACTGCAGGTGGGGAGAATTAGGGCTGCCGTATGCCCGGCAATTAAAGCAAGCACAGGCGCCTGCCTGCGCAGCGAAAGCGAGCCACCGGGGCATGGCTCCTGGATTAGATTTTTCCCTGGGATTCACCTTCCGCCTGCAAGGCCTGCTTGGTGCTGGCGAGAGGGCGCTCAGACTCGGAGGCCGTCCCCGCAGCCTTCATGAGCACAATCAGCTGGGCGCGGGGTGCACTTCCCCACACAAGACGAAGAAATGCACCGTGGCCTCTTTCGTGCCAGGCGTCCCCCTCGCTCAGGAGAGCAGGCAGTTGCCTGCTGTTGCCAGTGTGGCTTTGACGCTACTCATGGATTCGGAGCACCTCAGTTTGAACATGTTCTGATTAGGTTACGTACAGGATGCTGGAGAGTGTTTACACTTGTGGGATTGTTCTTTGAGCTATTCCATGATCACCTGCACATGGCAGAACATGGGCACAAATGCACGAGCAACGCCTGGCTGGAACACAGCAGCCTAGGCATGGGATCCAAGCTAAGAGGGCTTCTGGACTGTACCGTTTTGGCAAAATTCAGGCAGCAAGCAAAGCCCAGAATTGCAATTGACTGTCCGAGAGTCAGACAGCAAAAGTCCTGTTTGTATACACTGAATGGACGCTGGTCCATCCACACTAGCATGCAGAACGCATCCACGTGGATGTCGGAGGAACAGTGCACACGAATCGTTAAGGTGCTGGCTGTGACCTGCGAAGCCCTAAATGGCTGAGGGCCTGGTTTCCTGAAGGAGCGCCGCCTTCCCTATGCGCCCGCCTGCCTGCCCGCCCCTTGCGATCTGGGGCAGAGGCCCTTCTCCGGGAGCCCTCCCTGAAGGCGATTAGGAGGGTGGCTACGTGGAGGAGGGCCTTCTCTGCGGTGGTGCCCCAATTGTGGAATACGCTCCCCAGAGAGGTTCGCCTGGTGCCGTCACTTCATTCTTTTTGGCACCAGGCCAAAACCTTTTATTTTCCCAATGTTTTAAGACCTGACTGTTTTAATTTGGGGTTTTATTGTTAGTTGAATTTTTAGGATGCTGTGTTTAAATTTTTTTACATTTTGTATTGTTAAACTGTCCCAAGACTGGAAAAGTTTTAAATTAAATAAATAAATAAAATTTGCAGCATGCTGTTTTTTGACAGTGCAATTCTGTGCATATGAACACTTGCAGTGCTGTCTTAGCAAGAGGGCTTATTTCAGGATGGACGTGTACAGGACTGGGCTGTTAGTTTAAAAAAATTACTGGAACACTCTATTGCTGAAGTGCCATTGAGTGAATATTTTAATACAGGCGACAATGTTTTAAAGGAAAGGTTTTCAAAGCCACACTATGAAAAGGGCAGTAATCGAAAGGGACACTGCGGAGGAGTGCTGAAGCAGAGAGGGGTGGTGACGGGGCTCGTGCCCCAAAGTCACTGCACGTTTCCAAGCCACGCTCCTTGATGAAGAGCCGCTGCGGGGAGCTCTACGGCTGCACATTCCTCCCCTCCAGAAAGTCAGATTTTATGAGGACTCCAAAGAAACCGGAAGAAACAGGTGACAGGAAAACAAGAGGACAGCTATTTGATGACAGTGCAGTGCAAATACCTCGTATAAGTGAGCGAACAAAAACGGGTGTCTCGAACACCCGGTGTGGAGGCACCCTTGAAACATTATGTGGCTAAAACAGTTGCCACATCCATACACACCACAAAGGTCATCTGCAAGGGACGGTGCAAGTTGTTAGAGTGTGAGCGTGCGTGTATGTTACGTGTGTGTGTGCATGCAGTTGTATCAGTGCTCAAAATCTGGCAGCAAGATTTTAGTTCCGGTCAAGCCGCTTGGTCGGTATGACGTGGGCACAGGTGAGATCCAGGAAGGCCTTGCACCCGCGCCCAAGCGGCAGCTACCGGCTCCCTTCCCTACTCTGCAGAAGCCATGAAGGGCAAGGGCATGGAGAGAACGGCGCACGCGTGAGGAGAATCCGAGGGACGGAGGGAGCAGCCCTGCTCCAAGTGGTGACCATGCCCGAGGCGTGTGGCAAGGGGGGGGTGCAGGGGGCGGCCCCAGGCACCCTACAAGCTGAGGTCTACCACAATATGCTTGTAAACCAGCGTGTTTCCCTTGAAGCTGGGCGCCAGCAGGAGATTCATGTCCTCCAGCGGCAGCAGGCGGAACGCTCTGGGGGCCTGGACAGAGAGCTCCTGGAACTTCATGAACTTCTGCTTCTGCCCGTCCCAAAGGTAGATGTGGGTGAAGGAGAAGTCACTGCCCAGGGCCATGTACTGGCGCTCGGAGACCCAGAAGGGCTCCATGACCATGGAGCCCCGGGAGGGCAAGGTCTGCAGCTCCGTGAAGCGCAGCCCCTCCCACTTGACCACCTTGGAGTCCCCGATGTAGCGGCTGAGGCACAGGTAGCTGTCCCGCTTGATCCGGAAGTGCCTGACCATCTGCACGTCCATCACGTCCGCCACGTCGCCCAGGTGGACAAACTGCTTCTGCGCACGGTTCCACTGGTAGATGACGGGGGCCTGGGAGCTGCTGGAGATGATCAGCCGGGGCGCCCCCTCGATCTACACGAACTCCACGTCCGTGTCGCGGTGCCATGAGTGCAGGTCCTGGTGGGAGTAGAAGCCGTTCTGGTGCCAGCGGTAGAGGCCGGTGGAGCCCGCCTTGGAGCTGTCCGCGATGACGAAGAACCAGTCGCCCTCGATCTGGAAGGCCTCGATGTCGTTGGGCTTGCGGATCTTCTGGCTGTCGATGTCTTGGATCTTGACGAACTTGTCGATGTTGGTGTCCCAGCGGTAGATGTAAGAGCCTCCAAACAGCTGGGCCACCACGACGTACAGCTGCGACTCGGCGACAATCGGCTTGCAGTAGATGGCAGAGTGAGCTGGGAAGGAACGGCAGGTGGGTGAGCACTGGGAAGCATCCCATGGGGGCATCCTATGGGCTCTAAGGCACACTGGCAACCTTGGCTGCTCTTCCATGCAAACCCTGAACCTAGGACAGAGCCACTGTGCCGATCCCAGTGGGAGGGAGCCTCGGGGCCCACGCGGAAGCCACCACAAGCCAGTGCAGAACAGCCAAAGCCTCACCGGCTTGAGTGGTCTTAATACACGAAAAAGGCCAGCGTGGGTCATACAACCCTGCGCCTGTCTTTGTGCGCATGACTCGTTCCATTGGTTTTGCGCGCACTGGTCCGAATGCCCCAGGGCAGCTCCCTTCTCGGGCGACCGAGCAATGCCAGCACAGTTCTGCTGCCCTGTGAGGGCTGAAGGGCTGCCGGGCAGAGCGACTAAGAAGCTCGGCCGTGAATCAGGCAGGCCCTGCCCGTTGCCCAGCTCTGCCATGGGCTCTGCCGTGTAGCCTTTGGCACACACACCTCAGCCTCAGCCCTCGCATCTACCAGGTGGGAAAACAAGAATGGACGACCTTACAAGGTTGTTGTAAGTGGAAGCACTCCCTCAGGTCTCTTTATAGGTGCTAAACAGGGTGAAAGCTTTACTTTTGGGGAGGGAGAGCTCACAAGCCACGAAACAACCAGACACTTGTGTGGCCCCAGCCCTGAGGTCGTCTGAGTGGGCGCAGAGTGCTTCCTCCTTGCAACAGAATAGCCACTGCTGTTCTCATCCTTGGGCTTCCCAGGTCAGAAAGTGAGGACTCTCTTTCCCAGAAGGGAGGCAGACCACCCCCCCCACAGATGCTTGCTTTTTGCCTGTGGCCTCTGCGTGCACGCGGTGTTTATCGTGCATGGAAACACATGGGGAACAGGCCAGACCACGTCTCCCCAGGGGCAAATGCGGCTCTTCTTAGGACAAGCTGGGAGACTTGGGCATGGTCTGCGCTGCATTTCTAATTCTTCTCCCTTCGTGGAGCGAACACGCCGCCCGGCCGCTCCTTCCCCATGGCTGCTCCTTACCGGGGATGCGGTCAAAGTCGCGCAGCTTGCGCTCCACGTAGTCCCACTTGAGGATGGTGCAGCTGCTGGAGCTGGGCTGGGCCAGAGCCACGTAGAGGTCACTGGAGTGCAGGAAGGGCTCTGCAGACACCGACTGGAAAGGCAGGACCTGGTGCACCACGAAATCTGATGCAAGGGCGAAGCACAGATACTTGTGTGTCCCCTGATCACCCACAGCACCCTAAAAGGTTTGGCAGCTGCAACCCTGAAGGAACACTGAAGGAGAGCCAGTGTGGTGTAGTGGTGAAGAGCACGGGACTGGGACTCAATCTGGGTTCGAGTCCCTGCTCAGCCATGGAGCCCACTGGGTGACTCTGGGCCAGTCACAGACTCTCAGCCCAACCTGCCTCACAGGGTGGTTGTTGTGGGGAGAAGATGGAGGAGGAGAATGATGTAAGCTGCCTTGAGCCCTTTGCAGGAAAAAGGCAGGATAGAAATTGCAATATAATAAATAAACAAATAAATAAAAACACTGCCTCGTGCGTAGGCCCGCCTGGGCGCAGCTGGTGGGCTTGTCGCAACGATCTGGTGCGAGATTCTCTCGCTTGGGCTCTCCAAGGAGAAACAGGAACTTGCTTTCTCCCTTTCTGTCTGGTTTCCGGAGTCTGTCTGACCCTGGGAGTTGCATCAACTCGGAAGAATGGGCTTCCGTGAAAACGTCCCTTCGCGGTCCAAGTCTGATAGGTGGACAGGAGGTGTTAATCAAGCACTGGGCAGGTTGACGGGGTTTCCTTAGGGGACCCTCTTAGCCCTCGTGCAATTTAGCGTTGAGCGGTGGCTGCTGAGAGAGGCCACTGGGGGACCGAGCCAGCAGCCGCAGACACGCTGCTCAGCGGGGCCTCCCGGGCCACAGACTGGGTCCTGGCACGCTGGGAGCCCTGGGGCGAGGTGGCCCCCGAGTCGAGAGGATGGGCCCACTGCCTGCTCTGGGTGGGGTTCCAGACAGGCTCTTTGGAAGATCTGCTGATATTCTGGGGGTACCCCTAGATCTAGCTAATGCAGGACACAGCTGTGGCCAGGAGAGCCCCCTTTCCAATTTAATCCCCCCATACTCACACACACAGAGTTACCTCTCCAAAAGATTTTTGAAGTCAGAATTTCACCTTCATTCTGAAGTTGAGGCCTGGAATTCTTCTCAGTGCAAAGCCATTTCAAAACTGAATGTGGTTAACTCCTTTAAACTCCAGATACAATTAACTTTTCCAGTGCTTTTAACAGGATAGACATCAAAACCCCTTCACATTCCTAAAATAACTGATTTAGCATTCATCCATTGCTAACCCTGCTGAGATTTCACAAGGCTGTAAAACTTTGAATTATTTAGAATAAGTCCATAATAACCATTTGGACATTCTTTAAAAAACCCTGCCATTACCGGTGGTAACACAGTCGAAGTCCTTGAGCGGCAGTTGGCTGATCCTTTGGCCTTGGTGCTGGGGGGGCCCCGCGCAGAAAATGGCCGGCACGCTGGTGTTGGTGCTTGCCATCCACTCGACCAGCCACTTGCTGTTGCAGTCGCAGGCCAAGGAATTGCCCCGAAGGTCCCTGTTTGGGAGAGCCAAGTCAGCAGCCATGTCCAAGCAAGGGGAGCCTTCCCCTCGAAGCTGAGTGGAGAGAGAGGTCCTGAGCCCCCGCATGGCAGGCTTGCACCAAGCGTGGGTGCAGAGGCTCCGGCGTCCATGGGGCAGGGCTGGAACATGGGAGCCCCCTCGGGAGCCAAAGGCCTTCGCTTAGCGCCCTGAGGACATGGCAATCCAGAGCGCCCGTGCGCCGATGTGGCCCGGCGGATCTCCTGTGAGCCACAAAGCAACTCGGCGGATGCCTGGACCAGGCCTTGCTGGTCTCTGCAGGCCAGGAGAACCGGCGCCCGCTGACCCTGGGAATTTTTCTCCAAGCTCTGCCTGGACTGGGCTTGGATTGCTCCAGCAGGTTAAGGCCTCTTTAACTGCAATCAGTCAGTGAGCCGCAATGTGATCCTGTGCAGCTGATATGGAGACGAAGAGGCGAACCGCTAAACTGTGCGGTGCGTGGCTGGCCTGAAAGCCATAGGGCCCTGCCCAGGTGTGGCGGGGGAACACCGCCCTCACCCACCTGGCCCCCATCCCCACTTCCAACTGCAGGGACTTCTGCTCACACTGGGAGCAGGGCTCTATCGGGGCTCTGGATGGTGCAACCTGCAGCTTCCCAGCTGGATCACCGTGATGCGCTCTACGTGGGGCTGCCCTTGAGGGCGGTCCAGATACTGCAGCTGGTTCAGAACAGCGCTGCCAGGATACTAATGGGGACCCGCAGGTGTGCACATGTAGCGCCGGCCCTCTACCGTTTGCACTGGCCGCCACTTGGAGTCGGGCCCAATTTACGGTGCTGGTGGTGACCCATGAAGCCCTCAACGGCTTGGGTCCGGGACACCCGAAGGAGCGCCTCCTCCCCTAGGTGCCCTTCTGCCCCTTGAGCTCTGAGGCGCAGGTCCCTCTTCGGGAGCCCTCCCTGACGGAGATCGGGAGGGTGGCTGCTCGGAGGAGGGCCTGCTCTGCGGTGGCGCCCCGACTGTGGGACACGCTCCCCAGAGGGGTTCGCCTGGTGCCGAAATTATATTCCTTTCAGCGCCAGGCGAAACCCTTTTTATTTTCCCGTCCTTTTAATGTTTAATTGATGTTAACTGTGGTTTTAGTATATTAACTGTCTGATGGTGTGGCGCTTGTTTTATTCTACTTTTCATTGTAAGCCTTCCTGAGATGTTCTGCAGGGGACAGGACAGAAAAGCTTTTAATAAATAAATATATAAACAAATCGGCGAACAGCTGGCATTGTGCGGGTGGGGCTCCCTGCACCCAGGCAAACATGAGAGCAGCCCCTGCCCTCAGCACAGGGTGGCCCACCAATGAGGGGCGGAGCCTGTGCACCTGGGAGGGGCCAGTCCATGGGGCCGGGGAGGCTGGTGGGGCCAGCGTCAGTGGGATCACAGGTGCACTCCGGCTGCAGTCTGAGCAGCTGGCAGGCGGCCCGTGCCGCTCTTCTCTTGGCCCCAGTGTCAGCACCCTGGACAGCTCCCCGGGTGCCTGCTGGGCCACCAGCCCCCTCTGCATATGTCCCCCTGCTGGGCTGCACGTGCCCAGTTCTCTCAGCCTCTCCTCTTGGGGAGCATTTCCACACCCCGGGTCACTTTTGACGCCCTCCGCTGGAGCCTTCCTACTTTACCTGTGTCGTTCTTAAATCTTGGTGCCCAGAACTGGACACAGGATTCCAGGTGAGGTCTGACTAGTGAGGAGTAGAGGGGAACTACTACTTCTCGTGATTTGGAAGTGATACTTCTGTTAATGCATCCCAGAATAGCCTTTGCCCTTCTGGCGGCTGCATCGCATTGTTGGCTTTGAGACCAGGGCTGGAGTGCCTCTACTTGGTGTTGGGCGAACGAGACAGATTGGGGATTCTATTGGTGTACCGTGCACCTTTCTGCCCAGCAGTCTCCCTATCTGAGCTGACAGAGACCGTCTCGGACCTGGTGTTGAGGACCCCCAGGATGTTGGTCCTGGGGGACTTCAATCTCCATGCCGAGTCTGGACTGACCGGGGCGGCTCAGGACTTCATGGCCTCTATGACGGCCATGGGCCTGTCTCAACATGTCATTGGCCCGACCCATGAACGTGGACACACTCTGGACCTGGTATTCACGACGGGGCAGGTAGAGGATGACCTGAGGGTGAAGAACTTATGTTTGACTCCCCTGTCATGGTCAGATCACCTCCTGGTGAGGTTTGTGCTCGAGAGCGGCCTCTCCCTCTATAAGAGTGCAGACCCGATTGTATGGGCCCGCCCCCGGAGCCGGATGGATCCGGATGGATTCCTGAAGGCCCTGGGGGAGTTTCCGGCTGACAAGACTGGTGCTCCTGTCGAGGCTCTGGTCGAACTGTGGAACGGAGAGATGACCAAGGCTGTGGACACAATCGCTCCTAAGCGTCCTCTCCCACCAGGCAGAGTCCGCTCTTCCCCTTGGTATACACCTGAATTACGGGCGATGAAGCGAGTTGGGAGACGGCTAGAGCGTAGGTGGAGGAAATCACAGGATGAATCTGACCGAACACACTTGAGAGCCCACTATCGGGCCTATGCTGTAGCGGTGAAGGCGGCGAAAAAGAAGTTTTTTTCCGCTTCCATTGCCTCTTCACAATGCCGTCCAGCGGAGCTTTTTCGAGTGGTGCAAGGCCTGGTTCGCCTGGGTCCTAAGGAAGATCTGATGCCACCCTCGAAGGCCTGCTGTGACGACTTTGCCAGGCATTTCAGGGAGAAAATCGCTCAGATTCGTCACGAGCTGGACTCCACTAATGAATCAGAGGTCTCTGAGGAGTCGCCAATGCCACCGTCTGGTCCAAAATTATTGGAGGAATTTCAATTATTGCGGCCCAATGATGTGGACAAGGTGCTTGGAAGAGTACGTCCCACCACTTGCCTATTGGATCCTTGCCCGTCTTGGCTAATAAATAACTCCAAGCACGGGATTGGGACCTGGATCTTGGAAGTGGTTAACGCTTCTCTGAGGGAGGGTCGAGTGCCTGCCCCTTTAAAGGAGGCGGTAATACGACCGGTCCTGAAGAAAGCGTCACTGGATCCAGAGATGGCCACTAACTATAGACCTGTGGCCAACATCCCGTTTCTGGGCAAGGTGTTGGAGCGAGTGGTGGCGGGACAACTCCAAGCACTCTTGGATGAAACTGATTATCTGGATCCTTTTCAGTCCGGCTTCAGACCCGGGTACAGTACTGAATCTGCCTTGGTTGCCCTGTACGACGACCTGTGCAGGGAGAAGGACAGGGGGAGTACATCCCTGTTGGTTCTTCTGGACCTCTCGGCGGCTTTCGATACCATCGACCATGGTATCCTTCTGGATAGACTTGCGGGATTGGGGGTTGGAGGCACTGCTTTGCAGTGGTTCCGCTCCTATCTCAACGGTCGATTCCAGAAGGTAGTGCTGGGGGACCATATCTCTACGTCATGGCAGCTATGCCATGGAGTACCACAGGGCTCCATTCTATCCCCTCTGCTATTTAACATCTATATGAAACCGCTGGGAGAGGTCATCAGGAGGTGTGGGCTGCGGAATCTTCAATACGCTGATGATACCCAGCTTTACCTCTCGTTTTCCACTACTCCAGGTGAGGCAGTGGCTGTGCTGAACCGGTGCTTGGCCGAGGTAAGGGAATGGATGAGGGCCAATAAACTGAAACTCAACCCAGACAAGACGGAGGTCCTTTTGGTTGGCAGATCGGGTTTCGGAGAGGGTGGATTTGACCTGGTCCTGAATGGTGCAACACTCCCTCTTAGGGATAAGGTCCGCAGCTTAGGAGTACTCCTCGATCCGGAGCTTTCTTTGGAAGCGCAGGTGACAGCGGTAGCGAGGAGCGCCTTCCTTCAGCTTCGGCTGATTAATCAGCTGCGCCCCTACCTGGAGTTCGACTGCCTGGCGACGGTGACACAAGCGCTGGTGACTTCCCGCCTAGACTTCTGTAACGCGCTTTACGTGGGGCTTCCCCTGAAGACAGTCTGAACACTTCAATTGGTGCAAAATAGAGCTGCCAGGTTGCTGACGGGGATGGGGCGTTATGCTCACATGACTCCAGTCCTCCGTCAGCTTCATTGGCTTCCCATTGAAGCCCGGGCCCAATTCAAGGTGTTGATTATGACCTACAAAGCCCTAAACGGCTTGGGTCCTGGCTACCTGAACGAGCACTTACGTCCGTATATGCCCGACCGCCCTTTGAGATCTGCGGGAGAGTCCCTTCTCCGGGAACCCTCCATGAAAGAAATTAGGAGAGTAAGTACCCGGAGGAGGGCTTTCTCTGCGGTGGCGCCCAACCTATGGAATTCACTCCCCAAAGAGGTCCGCCTGGCACCGTCGTTACTGGTTTTTCGGCGCCAGGTAAAGACCTTTTTATTTAAACATCATTTCAATTGTTAAAACATATGATCTGGCCAGGGCAATTTCTTCTTCCTTCTCTTTCTCCTCCTATATTTTTATTTTATACTGATAATTTTAATTTTATTTTTGTAAATCAATGTATTTTTTGTATTTTTATATTTAATGGTAATTTATTATGTACTATTGTATTTCAATGTATTTTATCATGTTGTAAGCTGCCCCGAGGTTTCGGCAAGGGGCGGCATAGAAATGCTATAATAATAATAATAATAATAATAATAATAATAATAATATATTTGTATTTTATTGTATATATTTTAAAATGTTATTTTAATTTTTTGTTGTAAGCCGCCCTGAGGCTTCGGCGAATGGGGCGGCATAAAAATGTTTTAATAAATAAATAAATAATAAAATGTCCAGCCGGAACCCAGCTTCCTGCAACTTGATCCCATTATCCCCTGTTCTTCCCTCTCAGATGACTGAAAACCCAGCCTGCCTTTGTGTGACAGCCTTTCAAGACTCTGGCAAGTGCTCTCCTGTCTCCCCTCAGCCTAAACGTGCCCATTTCCTTCCGTCTCCCCGCATGGGTTTTTTCCCAGGCTGCTCAGAAACACGCCTGTGGAATGCCAGGGCTGCATGGAGCTCAAGCAAAGTTCAACACAACAAGCAGAGAAGGGTAACTGGCATTCAAGTAGGGAAAAACCTCACAGGTCGCTCAGGATGTCCAAGGGCTTCAAGAGGTCTCTGGGCAGGGTCTGCAGGTTGTTGTTGGCCAAGGAGCTGAAGCAGAGGAAGAAGAGTGCGATCAGTGGCAGCCAATGGCCCCATTTCGATGGCGGGGCTGGAAGGAGTGCCTGCACGGAGGGCACCGCTGCAGGTCATGGGGCAGCCCTGGACGGGCAGGGCGAGCACCCCCCTTTCCTCTACAAGGGAGCAGGCAGCCTGGGGCCCCCACCCTGCTCTTGTGCAAGCGGCATGGGGAGGGCGGAGGGGGAGGGAGGGGGTGTCCTGCCCGCCTTTGGCTGCAGGCCCACCCACTGTCTGACAGGGAACCCCAAGGAAGCATGTCCGTTGCAGACCAAGGGCTTCTGCCACCCCAGCCCTACCCCAAATATCCCTCGTGGACTCCCCTTCCCTGCGGAGGGCCTCGGGTGACGGGTGACGGTGGGCGACGTGACCACATGAGCTCAGCGTAATAAACGCAGGCAAGTTCTGCACACAAACGCAAGCAGGCCCAATCGCTGGCAGCCTTTGTCCTGCCGGTGGGAATTCCGCTCAGGGCACCCGGGCAGGGCCCCCAGTCCAGGCCTCCAAGTTGTGGCTTCAAGAGCATGGACACAGCATGGCTCGCCAGCAGGGGTGTCTAGGGGGCACGGCACATCTGCCCCGCTGCCTGCGTAACTCTGATGCACAGCTAGGGTGAGGAGCCCGGGGGGGGCAGCTTTCGCTAAGCGAATGGTCTGCCCCCCCCCCCCCCGCGCCACTGAGCTGGGGCATCACACTGCGTATCCACTGCAGATTTTAGCCCAAGACAGCTCTCCTTGCTGCCAAACCGTTGTCAAGCTGGATGCAGCACCACGGAGAGCTCCCCGAAAGTTGGGAGTGGCTGCATGGTGCGGCAGGCAAGGCGCCCCCAGACCTCTCCCCAGAGCTCTTTGGGGGGTACAAGCCACCCGCCATCGCGACCGCAAGCTTTGGGCTCTGTTCTTCCTCCCCTTGCAGGCGCGTCACATGCCCCAAAGGGACACGGCCATCTAAGCGGTTCACAAGACAACACAGGTGCCAGAAAAAACTCACAGGTGCGTCAGAGACTTGAGCCCACGGAAGGCGTTCTTTGACAGAGACTGGATGTCATTGTTCTCGATGAACCTGAGGGCACAGAAGGAGACATGCTCTTCACGGCTCTCACAGCATCCGGTGTTGCTAGAGGAGTCTTTGCAGCCGGAGGTAAATCAAGAAGCCCCTGGGCCACCCCCCCGCCCCACGGAAGCACATGCTTTGCCCATATTCCAGCACTTCCAGAAGAGGCCATGAACCCCCCTCTCCACCGGCCACTTCTCTCTAAGACCTGTTGTGCTTCTCGGCATTTCTCTACATCATTCCCAGCAAACCTGGCCCATCCCTGTCTGCTCTCCATCCCTGGCTCACCCCGCTCTCTCTGCTGGGCTCTGTCCTTGCCCTTACCATCTATCGGCCTTAACAAGTTATCAAGCCATGACTGGCACACCGTGGCTTGCAGGCACAGCAAGGTTCAGACCACATGGGAACCCAGGTTTCACCAGCAAGCCACAGTGCAATGACCACCCACACACAAGCCTTGAGTGAGGCTTAGCGTGTCGTCTGGACTCCACCGTTGCCTCTTTCTACGGGCTCTGCTCCCATGATAGGTATGCCTTTGACCAGGAACTGAACGTACAGGTACTGCAGGTGTGAGAGACCCACGAAGGCATTGTCCCCGATCAAGGAGAATTTGTTGGAGTTCAACAAGCTGAAAGGAAAAAGACAAGCTGTTAAACTAGACAGACAAGTTCCTATGAGGCACGGTGCACTCCAGGAGTAAGGTGTTCCCTATTTCCTGAGCAGCGACAAGAGATCGCTTTTGCTCCAGCCATTTGGACATATTAATTTATACTACTTCACTGTCAAATAGTTTTAAAAGCCCTAAGTGGTTTCTATATAAATATTAAAATCACAATTAAAGCCACATTTAAAATACGTACTTCCGGGTAAGAATTTAAAGCATTATTTATGATCGAACACCAAAACCCTAAGGGTCAAAACAGAAGCATCCTTCAAAGGAAGCCCTGTGCAGAACGAACGCGTCGCACGGATCTGGACGCAGCCAAGCCCTGTGTCTCCAGGGCACGGTTCCATTTGCATTCCCCAGGTACGAACCTCGGTGGCACCTCCGTGCCAGCTGGGCAAAGGCACCCCGGGCACAGAGGCTTGGGCGCCCAACGTCAAGGTCCAGCCTAGACGAAGGCCTGGATAACGAGGCAGAATTTTCATGGGGAGCCTCACCCCACCTGGCACCCCTGGGCACTTCTCCATCTTGCCTTCCACGGATTCAGCGTCCATCGGTTGGCCTCCGTTACCTCTGGAAATCAGTCCAGAGCTTCCTCAAGCAATGGGAGAGCCAGCATCGCCAGCACATTGCTGATGCTGAACCCCGAATGCCTCCCCCAGGGGTTTCATGGGGAACGAGACAGGGTATGAGAGGAAGCCCCCAGGCTCACCACAGCCGGTGGCCAGAGTGCCAAAAAAGCGTTCTCTGAAAGTGGCTTCCAGGCGCCACCGGGGAGCCACGTGGGACTCCAGTCCCACCCTGAGTGAGCTGGCCCAAGGGGGCAACCTGCCAATGGCTCTGCTGGGCCTCTAAGGCTTTGGATACTGAGCAGCACATGCCCACCCGCTCCAGCTTCCACATTAGGCCACACGCCCAAGGCCACGCGGGTCCCCCAGGCCAGGGCGACGACGATTCCAGACCGTCCGTTTCCAGCTGATGCCTTTCCAGTTGGCCAGCAGCTCCTTTCTCTTCCAGTGGGCTGGGCCTTTGGATGCGGAAATGGCAGAGGCTGCCTCATGACACATCGGGAATATAATAAGTTTCACCCAGGAAACCCCAAAGCTACAAGGCTATCACACGCCTCTTCTGAGGGCAAGAACTCTCCAATATGGTAGACAAAGGGGGAGGTCTTCAGTCACAAACCTCCAACATAGGCGGATTCCACCCCCCCCCCCACAAGAACCTTCTCCACATCCTCAAACTGCTCAAATTAAACCCCGCCCAATTTAAGGAGACAGACAGACAGACACCAAAGGCGGATCTAGTGGGTTTCCTCTAATGGCAGCATCTAAGTTGAAGCCTGGGGAACCCTTGTCCCAGAATGCTTTCAGGATTGCACCTTTTATCTGAAAACTGGTCACAGAGGACTACCAAAGGACCCTCCTTTCCAACTACTTGGAATAACTCCGTTGATGACTCCGGATGTCCTGATGGTGACAAACCCTCCCCTCCCGCGTCACCTTCCCTGCCCAAGTCAGATGACCCATGAGCCCTCCTCCACCTCTGTGCGCCTCATTTCATGGCCGCCACCCCCTCCGTCCGCTTTCTTCATCTTGCACTGGAGCTCGCCACACGGCACAGACACTCCACCTCCCCTCCAAGCCCTGCTCCTTTGGAGCTGGAAGCTGAAGATGCCCAGGCAGTCGGAGAAAGGGCGCCTCCTTTCGTGCCACTTCTGCAGTAAAGATTCTGCCCTGGGTGGGCACCTTGTTGATAACTATCTGGGACAAGGGGCTGGCAACTTGGGGGCGTGAGCGGCTTTTCAGGACGATAGCGCAGCGAGGCAGACAGACGTACAGGAACTGCAGGAATGGGAGGTGAGCGAAGGCAGCTTCTTTGATTTCACTGAAGGCTGCGTTTATCAGGGTCCTGCAGGAGAAGACAGAAGACAAGACAGAAGGTGAGAGATATCCTGGCAGGAGGGGCATCTGAAGCTCTCAGAAGAGTCCACGTGATTCAGAAATGCCCCGAAGCCTACAGGAAGTCTGGGGCTCCATCTGGGGATACCAGCACCTCAAGAGGTAGTGTAGGGCAGCACGGCTTGCGGGTGTTGCGTGGAGGTGGGGCGGGCAGAAAGGAGACCTCTGGCTCTTTTGGACATCAGCTCCCAGAAGTCCCTGCCAGCATGGCCAAAGGTCAGGAATGCTGGGAGTTGAAGCCCAACACACCTGGAGATCTCCTTTCAGGCCAGGGTGCAGTGGCATTAGAAAATATTGTTACAGATTAGCACCCCATTGCTCGGAGGGTTGAGAGCTGCACCAGCTCCCCAGCGGGTCCAGCAGTTTGCAATATTTGTGCTTGTTTACAAATATGCAGGCTGAGCAGAAAGGGCGGCCTGCAGAGTCAACCCACTTGGATGGCGCTCCTCACCAGCCTTCTAAAGGAAGCAACAGCACCCCAAGGTCTCTCAAGGCGCACCTGAGCTCCGCTAGCGCCTTACTCCGAAACTCGCAGGCTCGGTCTTTTACCTCCTTCCTGCACACTGACCTAGTTTAAAGAACCACTGAGGGTTAAGCAAGCCATCGTGGTTTGTCCATCACATACCCAGGCACAGTTTGCTGTGCCATCTGAATCCAGGCAGCATGGCTCAATGGAGAGGGGAACAGGCCCCAGTTGACACACAAGCCGTTGTTAAGGGCCTGGGTCGTCTATCCACATGCAATGCGTGATCTTCCCCAATCTGGAGGATACCTTTACGGAGAAGAGGAGGCTACAACCCTACGCCAGTAGATGGAGGGGTGGGGGGATCCTACAGTTCCCAGCATTCCCTAGCCAACATGTCTGCTTGGGAATGCTGGGAGTTGTAGGACTTTCTTCTGCCTACACATACATCAGGTTGTTTTCTATACACAGCATTAATTGTGCATTCATTATTCCTTCCACATGGTTATTTATGGGCTCTCTAGGCACCCTCATGATGCAACAGCTTTGCTCCTGCTTTTCCGGGGCACTTTCCCTGGTATTTTTAGGACAGAAAATGGCAGGGTTTTTTCCCTGAAAGTGGCTGCTGCTACTGGTGTCTTGCACTACAGTGTCACAGCAGTGGACTTTACGGAGTGGAAGAGAAGAGCTTTCCGTGCAAATCTCAATTCTGTGCTGAAAGCAGAAGTAGATACGGTGATTATCCGTCTGGTGCAGAAGGGCTTTTAACTGCCGTTCTCTCGCTCCAGGGAATCCTGGGAATTAATTGCAGTTCAGGGATGGGGGAGGCGGCAGGGTTACTCCCGAGCTGCGTCGGTACTTTCCCAAGCCGTGTTCTTTGGGGGACAGAAGCTGTGCCTATAAAAGCTCGAGGGAACTGGCAGGCCCGGCCATGCTTGGAGAGGGTCAGAGTCCGACATCCTCCACTGGCAGCATTCCAAGCTGCATTTCACTAGCTAATAGTTCCCAGCCATCCAAAGCCAAGGCTGCTTGCAGAACAACTATCTTTTGTCCATCCGTGGACATTCAAGAAGTATCCCAAGCTATTAACCACACAGAATACTAAGAAAAGACATTGATTCACTGCTCTCCCCACATCCTGTCTCAGCCACCCTGGGATGTCTCTCTGCAGAGAGGATGTATTTAAAGATCTTTCCATTGGCTGTGATTAATGAAGGTGAGCTGGAACCAGGCTCAAAAGCCACTTACACAAATCAATGCGCGCATCAGCGCCAGCCGCACACAGATGCAGCCAGAGCAGTCAGGGATAAAGCACTGAGGAAGGCCAGCGTGTGTCCTGGAGAGCCCCAGAGGAATGACGCCAGAGTGGGGAGAGGTCAGGGGACTACTGCACGCCCCAGCTTAGAGTGAGGTGCAAACCCCCGAACAGCCTTGCTGAAGGCGGCAGCTCAGAGTGTTTGGAGGGCTGAGCGGGGCCCATGCCCTTGTGGCCTCCAGGAAAACCATCTCCCCACATGGTTCTTCCTCACAGTATGCAGCCAAGATGTGCTTTGCTGGCAAAAACTGCTTTGCACAACAAAGCACCTTGGTTTGTATTGCTGCTTGTCCAGCACGCCGCCACTGCCAGGGGCCCTGGCTTTCCAGTTCCAAGGAGGCGGCACTGCTGGAGCTTCCTGAACCCCGGCAGGATGGCCTTCAGCGCAACCCGTCACCTGCATGGCTCGGACAGCACACAACTTGTATGTTCTGTGCAAAAACAGCCCACTTCCGTTGTGCAAAACCCCAGACACTGTATTCTTCTTGACTCAAGGAGGTTTCGAGCCCATTTTTGCTGTAGGAACAGATTTGATTTATACCTCGCCTTTCTACCAAGAAAAGGGCACTTTGAACTGACTCCAGTCATAAGTAAAGCTTGATTGAAACAAAAGTAAAAGAAAGGCATCAAAACATGAGTAAAACACAATGATAACAGAATAAAAAGCATCCAAACTGGCAGCCCCACTTACATGCCAAAGACTTGCTTGAATAGAAATGTCTTCACTTTTGATGACACCTCAGCAGAATGCAAACTCTCACTGTGGTGATACTTTCACAGGATCTTAAAGCTCCAAGGGACTTTGGAGGTCATCTAGTCCAACCCCACATGGCTTGGAACCACAATACCTGTTGCAGTGCCTTTTCCAACCCCAATCTGTCCAGATACCACACTTATCCTCTGGGGCCTTCCTCCAGGTGCCAACTCCTCGGGGGGCTTAGAGGGTGGCAATTAGGGGGAAGCCCTTTTGGGGGTGGCCCCCATCTTTGGAACAACCTCCCTGCTGCAGCCTGTCTGGAGCCAGATCTGGCATCTTTTCAGCGCCAGGATAAGACAGCTCTCTTTGCAGAGGCCTCTGAAGACCTCCCCAGCCACTCAGCAGCCTGACACAATTAGCCAAATGCCTTCCTTTTATTCTTGGCCAGGTCTTTTTATTGTTTAATGTTTTTATGCTGTGTCAAATTAATTCTAATTCCTGTTAATGCCTTTATTATATTTATTGTATTTATACTTTGCTGTAAACTGCCCAGGGAGCTTTGGCTATGGGTGGAACAGAAATGAAACAATAACAACAACAACACCCACCTCCGTGCAGGATTGGGAGCACACGATCCCGCCCCAGCACCTAGAGAGATGGCCGGCCTCCCCGCCCCGGCAACGAGAAGCCAGCTTCTCCAAAGTGATGGTCCTCTGCTGCGTCACTCGCATCGTTACAAAGTTCCTCGTACAGCCCCGCTGAAATCCACTTCCCTGCCATTTCCAGCGGATCGGCATGTGGCAACCCTCTGCGCACCCGAGGCGGGCCGCGTACACGTCAAGCAATCACCAGGCACCTAGAAGCCACGCCAGGATGCAGCCGGCCGAGGGGTTTCTGTGCTCAGTGCATCTCCTCCGAATGCTTGCGCTCAGTATTCCTTACAACAGCCCGGGCAGGTGTTCTTTTCCCCCGTCTTCCCTCTCTGTGGGGAGAGAACTGAGCCTGGGAACTGGGGACCTCAGGAGGGTTGCGACTTGGTTGTGGTGTGAGTCTTGAACGCAGGACTCACACCTGGAGGCTGGAGAGAGAAACCACCTTAAACGGGCTCACCCTGGGATGGGGGAGCCAAAGCCACCTCAGGTGCACCCGGTCCTTTTTCTGCCCCGCTGGTCAACCTGGTTTTGCAGGTCGTTTGCACTGTAAGTGCCAAGCGATCGTGCGAACCCAGCCATGTGGTGTAAACGCTGGCACGGGGAATCCCTTGACGGAGGCTTCTGGGCCAAGGCTGCGCTTTCCGGGACATTTGCTCGCCCTGCCCGGAGCTGCCGAATCAGCCACAAGAGAGGGAACGGTGGGGGATGGGGGTGCATTTTGGGGGGCCCTGGCTTACCACCTGACATGCCTTCATCAAAGGAGTGTCCCACGACCCCAACTGCACCATCAGGAGATAACGGGGTGACCCCCATCCCTTTACATGCCCTGTCCATTAACAAGGCAAGCTGGCTCACACACTCGCAGAAGGACCTGTCCCGCTGGGCAATGAGCTTCCGCCACCCTTCCTGGCCCAAAGGGAAGCATCCCCCCGGGGTGGAATCCAGCTGCTCGGTGGAGCCAGTCCTGCACCGTGGCCCCTTTTGCTTGGGATGCCCCCTGGCCCCAGCCTCGCCCTGGCACAGTCAGGATGGAGCCACCAGAAATGGGGACCCCACACTCGGTCTCCGATCCTCCAACTAAGGGCTCCATGCGTTCTGCAGAGCGCTGTTGCTGGCGCCCCCCCCCCCCCCCGCCGCGATCTGGCCCCTTCCCAGCCCCTGGCCCAGGCCCCTCCCGGCCCGCCGGCTGCCCCCTGGCAATAGCCACATGCTTCCTGAGCACGCCCCCAAACCTCCGGGGGACCCCAAGTCTGGCACTTACAGCGAGATGACATCGCGGGGCAGGTTCCGGGGGATGGCCTTGGAGTCCACGCAGAAGGCCGTGTCCCTGGTGCAGGAGCAGCTGGGGGGGCACGGCGGGGGTCGGGGCGCCCTCCGCGGGGCGGCCAGGCCCAGCAGCAACAGCAGCAGCAGCAGCGGGAGCGGGCCCGCTCGGAGGGCTCTGCCCGGCCGCGGCGGCTCAGGCATGGCCCTTTCCCGGCCTGGCGCGTCTGGGGAGAAGAGTCGGCCCTCCCAGCCCAGGCAGCTGTTGCCCAGGGGCGCCGCCTCGCCTCGCCTCGCCTCGCCTCGCCGGGCTGCGCGCCGGCGGAGAGCCCTCCTGCAGAAGCTGCCGCCTCCGCCCGGCGCGAGGGGCGAGCAACCGCGCGCGCAGGCGAGCAAGCAAGCACGCGCGCCCCGGGCGGGCGGCCGGGCGCGCGCCCGATGCGCGGCGGGCGAGAGCCCCGCCGGGAGCGCAGCTTTGCCCTGGGAGAGGGGAAGCGAGGGGCCGGCGGCGCATGGAGCGCGGAGCAGCTGCCGGCCGGCGCGACCCTCCGCTTCTTCCTCCCGGGGGACCTACCAAGGGGCAGGTGGCGAGTCACCCGAGGCCGGGACTTGGGAACCCCCGCACTTTGCCGGCCGCGGGAATGCGCGCCGCGGGATGCTACGCAACAGCACAAAGAGGGGCGAGGCTGAAGGCGCCGGCGGGGGCCCATATGCCATAGTCCAAGCATCGCACCCCCGTTGCTATGCACCCCAAAGGCAGAAATCCATGGGGAGAGGGGCCCCCCACCGCCACCTGCACAGCCCGCCCCCCCCCGCATTGCCTCATTTCTCCCCCTCCCCACACCCCATGGCCCTGGTGGCCTCCAGCTGCCACCCAACAATTCGTGGCACGCGAGTGGCGAGGATACAAACATCCCCGTTCCTGGCACAGCTGCATCCCAGACAACAAAGGACAAAGCGCGCGAGGAGATGGCCTGATGCTTGCGAGCTGAGCAGAGCAGAGCCGAGCGGTGCATAGGAGCACAGAGCTGGGCCGCGACACGCACAAGATCGATCCATGCTGGGGAAACTCCCGGGGCCTCCTCCTCAGCAGGGAGTCTCAGGGCTCACTAGCCCCCCGGCGGGCCTGCCTGGAGACAGCCCATCATCCACAGAGGAGGCCCCACCATCATCCATCTCCACGGCCTGCAGCCCTTTCCCCCAGCTTCTCACATGAGCCACGTGCTCTCCTGGTGTGGTGCCCTAACTCTGGGGCGCGGCCTTTTGCCCAAGCTCGCCAGCATGGGTGTGCTCACACTGCAAAGACGGGGCACCAATTCAGCCCCACTTGGGGCTCTGGAGCTGCAAGCAGGGGTTCGTCCAGAGCTCCCATCCTTGGGAAATGGTGTGCCACCATTTGGATGATCTTCCCAGGGCACTTAAATTTCTTACATGTACAACTGTTGAGGAAAGGGGCCACCAGGCCACCTCAGGCCGCCTGAGACCCCCCCCCCCCCCGACAAAGTGGCCCTGACTCAGTGCATTGGCTGCCCTCTGCAGGTTTCTCATTCCATCCTCCTGCTTTCAACATCTCAAGAAGGTCCTGAGGTACCTGCTCCAAAAGTTGCCAGGTGACTTCCAGAAGCAGGAAGGACTGCTTGCGTCAAAGAGGCCCTTCTGCTTCTGGACAAGGTTCCTCAGAGGTGTTTGATGGACCTGAGCCCAAGGGACCCTTATCTGGAAGGGTCTGCTCTGAAAGGTTCCCAAGTAAAGGCTTGGCAGGCAGCTGGCAGGTGCCTGCAAGAGGCCGGAGAGTGGAGCACACGTCACGAGCCGTCGCTATAAGTACAGGCGCCCTCCTGCCAGGAGGCAGCCCAGGAGGAGGGGAGGAGCTGGCAAGGATGGAGAAGAGGAGCAGCAAGGACGGCCCGATGCTCGAAGCACAACTGGTGCGTCTCACACCTTCTGGGACGAGGTGTGGGGGGAACCTGGGCAGGGCGGGAGGGGGGCACTGGGGAACCCTCTGAAGGAGAGAGAGGCAGTGCAGCTCTCCTCCGTGCCCTGCTTCTCGGGGGGTTTCAGGCTGCAGGCAGGGCGTCTCAGAACCACTCCAATGTCAGTGGGGCTGTGTAGTCAATCTGGGTGTCAGTCTGAGCTGTACAGGAGCCATTCATGTGCAGAGCTGGGGGCAGAGTTTCTCTGCATGGAGAGCTCCTTAAAGACCAGAGTGGGTGCTGCCCCTCTGACATTGCAGTCACTGGACTCCATTGCCACAAACAAAGCCCCGCACATGGAAAACTAGCCTGTCAGGGAGAGGACCTCTCCCTGACATGCCAGCTTTCCTACATGTAGAGTCTGGACTACAAGTTCCTGCAGTCTGGACTTGCCTCTTCAGGCTTCTTCCCATCCATTGTCCCTGGACTGCAATGCCCCCCTTCCCGATCTGCATCTTCTGGTTCCACAGGATTACACAGCATCTCCCCAGCTGCCTGGCCTCCCTTGCAAGAACCTCTTGGTGGTGGTGGTGGTGGTGGTCGTTGTCGTCGTGATTGCGCTGGTCTACGGGCTGATAGGGCAGCGGATCATACACAAGGAGGCGGTAAGGACAGCAGATTCCTGCGCCAGCATCCCCCAACCTGCACCCTCCCTAGGTGCCGAGCTACACCCCCCAGGACCCCCCACCAGCATAACTGGGAACTGTGATCCGAAGCAAAGCACCTTCAGCCCTCGGTGCTCCCAGGGAACATTCTGAGCGATCCACTAAACGAAAGGCGCTCCTTTTCGCACTGGCGCAGCGTGACGGTGCTCCCAGAGCTGCAGCCAAGCTCTCTTCTGTGTCCAGGTCCTGCACATGAGCATTCAAGGTCTGGCGGGGGAAGGCTCCCCCCAGCACCTTTCCATGAGCCGGAAGGAGATCCAGGTGGTGTTCCACATAAGCACGGAGGCCAATTCTTCTGCCACGGTGGTGTATGACTACAGTCACGTAAGAGACGCTTGGAAACAAAGCCTTCTCCTCTTGCTGAGCCCCCGTAGCATTCTCAGCTCTCTTCTAGATTAAGTTTCTAGTCCTCATTACTGCAGAAATACTGAATGGTTCCTCATTGGTTTACACGGAACTTCCAGGTCTGCAGGGGCACACATTTCTCCAGGGAATCAAGCCCAGGAACAAGGAGGAGCTGCCTTTGCAGCATCAGGCGGTCCCGTCTCTCCTTGGACCAATGTTAATGCCACTTCAGTGCCAGGCTTTGCAAAGTCGAGAGCAGCCAGCACCAACCCAGTGCCCTCACAGAGCCCATCATCCTCAACCTCAGTTGGCTGGGCCTGTGGGAACTACAGTCCACCACATCAGGAGGGTACCCAGCTGGGGGAGGCCAACCTTAATGTGCAGGCATAAAAACAGAGAAGCCCTTTTTTTTAAGGATTCAGACTAAATGAGCCACGCAGGACCGGCCTCACCATAAGCCAAAGGGAGGGCAGCAAATGGCTCGTAACTGTCCAGTTTGCGCATCACAACAGGCTGCTGTGGGGTGACCCACTTCAGAATGACATGACACGCGCAAGTCCTTTCACAACACGGCAAGCTGAGTGCGCGGGTGCACGCAAAACGGAACCCGGGCTGCCCCGCATGGTGCACCCCTCCCACGGCTGGAGTACGCCCGGCTTGCCTCTTCAGCTGAGCCAGGCAGCAGACCCTGCGGCCAGGGGCGCATGCGGCCAGGGGCGCTTGGTGGATCGTCCCCCTTATGTGTCACGTAAAGTAAGTCGGCCGCCTGTGGGCAGTGCGGGGGCCGCAGGCAGGGGAATCCGCTGGGCCAGCCCTGCGGCCAGGGGGCGGAGAGGCAGCCCGCCCACTGCACGGAGCGGGGACCCCTGGAACGGGTTCTTCGCTTATGCTAGGCCTACTTTGCTTAAGAACGAGGGACTGACCGCTTGCCGAGGCAACCCCAAAAGATGGCCGCAGCTCTGGGGGAAAGCTTTCTGCAGAGCCAGGTTGACTCCAGACCTTTGCGGCTTATTTGTCTGGAGAGCAACAAGAAATGGGCATGAGGAAAAACCCAGCAGAAAACCCCGTCAAAATCTCCCCCACCCCAGTCGTCTTTGCTCACCTGGGGTGTTCCCAGATAGAAGCTCCCGTCAAATGACACCCAACTTTTCCCCTTCCTGTGGGTTAAGGGGGAAAGTGCTCCTGCTTTCCCTGCTCGGGTGCAACTGGAAGGAGGTGGAGGGAGAGGTGTGGCTGATTGCGGGCAGGTGGGTGTTTGTGAGGACGTGGCGCCATCGCCCTCGCACCGAGACTGGGCGCTTCCTCTCCGCACAGCTCCTGCTTGGCTACAGACCTTGGCCAGGGCGGTCCTGCTACATCGCCAGGATGGACCAGGAGAGCATCCCGAGCCTGGACCAGGTGGCGGCACTATTCCAGCGCACTCTGGTGAGCCAGGAGAGGCCCTGGGCAGGGGACTGGGTGACGGGGCGAGCCACCTCTCTCCACGTCTGGAGCCAGGCCACAGGGCACATGGTAGAGCCATTTCTGGAATGTACCTCATTACAAGGTGGGTGGGTGGGGAATCCCAAGAGAAACCCCCCCCCCCCCAACAAAAAGTCCTCTCTGCAGGGAATGAGCAAGTTGGGGCAAATGAAACATTCATGAAAGCAAGCTGGATGGGGACCGCGGCAGTCAGGGAGAGAAAGATAAAAATTTTCCCCCACCTGTTCTTTTCTCTCGCCAAATTCCAGCCCAGATTAAAAAGACAGAAAGGGCCTGCATTGATTCCAAAGGAGAGGCTTTTCCCCCATTTCAACCAACCCTAGCGCCTTACTTTTCTGCAAAAAGAAATCCAAGGGTTTGAGGGATGCAATTAAAATAAAATAAAACCATAGTGAAAACAGGTGGCGGGGACCTGAAGCCCCACACACAGCAGGAGAATGGCAGCCAGGTGCTTTAATGGAGCTCTAGCTTGGCCTGTGCACAGAGAATCTGCACGGTGAGTAAATGGACCTTCTAGCTCATGTGCATTTTCAGTTAAAGTCCCTTTAGCTTCAGTGGGTCTGCACTACATGAGGCAGGCCTGGGGGCCCTCAGGACGTGAGAATGTGTGACCCCCGTCACTCCAGTTCAGCAGCAGTGCTGGCTGGGGCTGGCAGCTGAAGCGGAAAACATCCCAGGGAGACCAGCTTGCCTGCGCTGAGCTTAGTCTAGGACTGGGAAGAGGGACTCCGTTTCCAGAGTCCAAGGTGTGGCAGACACCTTAAGCCGAAGTATTACCCGATGTCCCATCTGAATTCCAAGCCAAGAACAGGTAAGCATGAACCAGGAGTCAAGAGCCAGAAAGACCATGCACGGAGAAGGTGCCTTTGGAGCAAAGCAGGAGTGGACGCAAGGGCCGGAGGCTGGGGCAGCAGCCGCGGATTTGCAGCCGGGCCCGGGAGTAAGAATAGGTCCCGAGCGCAGGCTCACAGCCAAGTAGTGATACGGATCACCAGGACCAGTCAGGATACCTTCGCCGCTGAAAGAGCTTCTGCGGGCAAGGCCTGGTTCTTCTATAGCTTCCACTGGGGGCTCCCAGGCAGTGCTCATAAGGGCCCTGCTGGCTGCAGGAGGCTGTGGGTCCAATCCTGCAACTAGCAAGGCTGTTTCTTTGGCCTTTGGGCAGAGATGGAGCCCTGAAGCCGCCTCGGATCCTGACAATGGCCTGGGACAAGCCACTCTTTTTTTCTTTTTTCTTTTTTTGGAGAAATGTTTGGCTCACTTAGTTTACCAGAAGAAACCAACATGATAATAAACAATAATGCAATGCTGCAGAAGAGCGAAAGCAGCCAGAGCTAAGAAAATACAGCAGTAAACACATGTCTGATTGGGGCTGGAGCGAGAGCAACTCAGCAAGTAATTGCCTTGCTGGGATGGAAAAGGCCGCCTTGTGCAAGGGTAGATTCCAGGGCAGGTGTGGGCGCTCCATGCCGGCCCACAGGAAAGCGGCCTGAGAGAGGGTCAGCCCCCTCCCCCAGAACAAGCTCAGGAGGAAGGAGGTGCCCCTGGGCCGGCTGGCAGGGCCCGGGGCCTCAGCGGCTGCCAACAAGCCTCTTGCTCTCCCCGCGCAGGCTCTCCCGCCACCCCGCAAGTGGAGCAAGGAGGAAGCGGACGGGCTCCCTGCGCCGCTGGCGGACCGGTCCCTCCTGGGCACCGCGACAGGCATCTTGTGCAGCAGCCTCCCCGTCTTCTGGGCATAGAGGAGAGAAGGCGGGCTCAGGCCCGAGCCCCACATGCAGCTGGGCGAGAACAGGCCGTCCTACAACGTTGACCCAGCCGGGGAGAGCCTCCGGAGGGCCCCAGGGCAGCCTAGCCCTTTGCACGCACGCACGCGCACGCACGCATGCACGCACGCACGCACAGAGTTCTGAAAGCACCACGCTGTCCTTTGTCAGTGCCCCGGCTCATGGCCGTAAGTGTGCCCCCTCGCATGGTGGGCGAGCTGTGCAGTGTGTCCCTGGCTGCACGGTGCTCTCGCCTGGGCACAGAGCCCTGCTTTGCCTCCAAAGGTCTCAAACGAGCCTCCTCAGAAGCTGCCCCTTATCTAGGGCCCCGCTCCGCCCCGGGCGCCTGCACCAAGGAAGACTTGGAAGGTGGCAGCCCCCGCCAAGTGTGGAATGGCCTCGTACCCACATGGCCAAATTTTCAGTACCAGGTTAAAACCGACTTCTCTTGGGCATCTGGCAGTCAATGATGAGGATTTAATCAGTCTTGGGGATTCTTTTGTTGATTGTTTAAAATTGTTTTTCAATATATCTGCATCTTTGTGTGCTGTAGCTTTATATGTTTGCATGTATTGGGATTTTATACTGTATTTTTGAGGTTTTAATCTTTGTAAAATGTAATGAACGAAATGAAATGTAATGTAATGTAATGAATGAAACGAAAGTGTCATGATCCAATCTGGTGTGAGGCAACTTTGGATGTTCGGCCCGCAAGTGGGGAGCTGATTCTTGACTGCTCTCTGTGCGTGGACAGAAGCAACATTTGATGAGGGCTCTGCGTGGCAGTCCCAGGAGACACTCTGGATCCACCAATTCTACTGAATCAATTTCTTAATGGGTTCCCCTTTAAATCCATTAGCAGATGCTATCTAGCAGCCGTACCTTTCAATCATGTACTTTGCCCTCACCTGCTCTCCCATGCTGCTGATGTGTGTGCTTATCTCCAATAAATAATGTGTGGAAAGCAAAACACGAGTTAGCAGGGAAGACACATCTCTGTCATGCCACGAAAGACCTGCTGCAGCACAACGCTGGGCCAGGGCCAGCAGTGCAGGGCCTGGTCTCCCTCTTACACGTGCAGAGTTCTGTGGATGCATCCAGCTGGTGCTCCTGGGTCCTGGCCCCTCCTGGCCCCTCTGTGACCAGCGCAAGCCCCACATGTGGGAGTGCCAGGCTGGGGAATCTTCTGCCTGGGTCCACGGTACCAGGCGCTTGGCTTATGCTGAGTGCGTATGTATTTAAAAGCTGGGAAGCACCTGGGCAGCTTCCCAGATAATGAGGCATCCCGGAACTGCAGAGAAGTATTCCTGGAACAGGCCCACCTATGGCTCGTGGCCCTCTCCTGCCGTGCACAGCTATGGAAAAATACCATGCATGTGCTTGAATTCCTCAGGTGCAAGTGTGATGCCCTGGCTGGCTGAGGCCACATGGGGACCTCGTGTGGAGCATGGGCTTCAGAGCACACGCCCCGGTGCCCTCAGCAACACACCAGAGCTCCGTACCAGGTCCAGCCAGGGGAGCTAGGACTGCTTGCACCAGCCTCCCCACTGCCCAGGCTGGCCGGGGAGCTTGGGAAGTGGAGTCCAGCCATTTCCCAGGTTCATTGCCCCTCGGTCCTGGGACAGGCCGTAGCTCAGTGGCCCAACAAATGCACAGATGGCAGAAGGCTGCAAGTTCCGTTCCTCTGGACGTGTTTGGATGAAGGGAGATCTCGGAGGGTGGCTGCCGGGCGAAAGAGGGCAGACGGGTGCCCAGGGATGCTCTGGGCAGGACCCCAGGGCAGGGCCTGGCGGTGCATGAAGCTCAGGGGAGATCACCTGCATGTAGCCATGCTGAATTCCAAAATGGAAGAAAGGTGGGGTGTCCCCCGGCTCAGAGGCGAAGCCGCTTCTCTGCCTGGAAAGTCAGTACAGATGACGGAGAGGCAGACACACGAGCTGGCTGGAGAAGACCATCAGGCCAGGAAAAGTTGAGGGCGGGAGAAGCAAAGGAAGACCAGACTGAGGTGGATGGATCTCCACCAAGGAAGCCACAGCCTCGAACTTGGGAGGGCAGAGCCAGGCTGCCGGAGGGGTCGCTTTGGAGGGGGCCAGCAGTCTTAGGTGACTGGACTGCGCACCACGGCAAAAGACACGCGGTGGCTCAAGCATGGAGCCCTTCCCACGCAAGGGCTTCTCAGCAGACGAGAAGAAAGGCGTCCTTGGGGGGAAGCTGCAGCCAAACCGTGCCCTCGTTTCTCTGCTGCCTCCCACAGATCGGAACTGGGGCCAGCAGGAATGATCCGCCACCACTGTTTTTACCCCTGCGAGGGGTCAGAGGGGCAGCTCCGGGGACGAGCTGGAGCCTGGGGCAGCCGCAGCACAGAACACCCCATGCGGAGCTTTGTCAGCTTCCTGCTGCTGCTGCAGAACGACGGAGCCATGTCCGGGCACAGGAGATGCTCAGGTTGCGTTGCTGACGAAGGGAAAATGCATAATGGATGGTGCGGAACGGGGATCTTTGCTTGAATCCAGTACGCAGAGAGTCCCGAATGTCGGGAGCTTGGGATGAAGTGCAGACAGCTGGTCTCTAGCCAGTACTCTGACACTGCAATCATACACTTCCCTTCCTCTTCTGCAAAGAAGCCAAGGTGGCTCACAGTCCTTCTCCACTCCATTTTATCCTTGCGCAACAACCCTGTGAGGTAGGTTATGCTGAGAGAGATTGACCGGGCCAAATTCACCCAGTGAGGGAGCCAGTGTGGGGTCAGGGTTAAGGGCGCAGGGCTGGGACTCAGGCGATCTGGGTTCGAGTACCCACTCAGCCACGGAGCCAACTGGTGGCTTTGCGCCAGTCACAAACTCAGCTCAGCCTACCTCACAGGGTTGTTGTTGCGGGGTTCAGACTGAGAGCAGTGGGAGAAGAAGGATATAAACTGCTTTTGAGTTCTTAAAAAAAGGAAAAGGTGGATATAAATCTAATAACTATATAAATAATCTGAACTCAGGACTCTTCGGCCCAGATCTTGTCCCTGCTTTCACCAATTCCAGATGTTTGGGACTAAACCCCCAGCATTCCTGCTGTTAGCCACACTGGACAGGGCTGCCGGGAGTGAACCCCGAAACATCTGGCCCTCCTGCCCAAAAGGAAAACCTGCCTGTGGATCTAGGGCTGGCAGCGCTGGTTCTGATCCGCAAATGCGGGCGTTGCATTCCAGGGGATGTGGATCGGAATCCAGTGAGTCGGTGTGGCATTTCCCAGCCTTCCCATCAAGGACACACAGCTGGCAAGGCAGGGCTTTCAGAGCGGTTCAGAGGTGCTTGGGCTGGGTGAGCAACACAAGGCCGCAGGGAGCACGGCCCTCGGCCACGGTGCAGTGGGAAGCCCTGCGAGGCGCCTGTTCTGGGAGGGCAGCTTAGGAGGTGCTTGTATCCCCGCTTGGCAGAGTGGCCAGCTCCCCGCTCGCCCCGTTCCCAGCCAAGAAGAGGGAGCAATGACGCACTTTGCCCACGGATGTGGCTCTGCAAGAGCGCCGCACCTTCCGCAAGGGACCTCCTTGGGGCTGTTCCCACGAAGCCTTAAAAGCAAGAGCAAACCCGGGCCAACAAGTTGGGCCATCGAGGCCTGGCCTCTTCTCCAAAGGGCGTGTGCCTCAGTGCCCCAGGCAATGCTGCCAGGTAAGTTGGCAGGCTCCAGAGCGCAAACCCTGCACCTTCCTGAGAGCCCTTGAGGCGGAAACTTGGAGAGAAAATGGCCCTTCGAGCACCTGGAACCAGGTGCCAGGTTTTTGAGAGCCTTCGAGCAAAGCACCCTCCCCAAGCCCCTCTGCCCGTGGGTCCCTCTTCTCACCATCATCATCCCAGCCGCTGCTGCTGCTCCTCCCCCTGGGCACCACCTGTTTGCTCAATGGACAGAGAGCTAGTAACCCGTCGGCCAGGTGCATCTGCAGTGGGAAGCAGGGGAGCAATTCCCAGGGCCTTCTGTCAGGGGTGTGGACTCTTCCAGGTGCTCCCCACACCTGCCTTTGGTGCTGGCCACACAAGTGAGCCGGGGGGGGGTGTCTGTGGGTGCTTGTGGGAATGGGGCCACGCTTCCAGCAGCCTCCTTCTGCAGCTGGAGCAGTGCAACCAAAGGCCTCAGGTCCTGCTCACGGGAGAGGAGGACCACCTGTGCAATGCACACCTGTGCAAACGCTCGGCACACTTGCACCCACGGCTGCAAGAAAGCCGACTGCAGTCTGGGGGAATCCGACAGATCCCATCCCCAAAGTAAGTTCCTCACCCATCCCTAGAGAAGAGAAGCAACTGGGCAGTCCAGGCCCAGGAGACGTCCCTGGAGCTGAGTGATGGTGGTTGGAAGAAGAAAAGCTACCAGAATGCACGGGGGAAGCAGCTTAAGAGAAAGGAGACTCCTGGGACACCTTCCTGCCCGGCGCGATCCCAGTTGGCTGCAAGGGAATGGGGAAGGGATGCTTCATGAGGTCCTGAGGCAGGAGAATGTCTTGGCTGGCCCTAGGTACCCGAGCGCACTGCACGGCTAGGCGGGTGCAGTGACGGGGGGAATTCAGCACCTGTCCACAAGGGCAAGCGCAGGAAAGTGGGAGCTGCCACCTCCGTGGGGTGCGTGGACAGCCGACGGTGCTCAGGAGCTTCCTGGGTCGGCCGCAGAACCTCCCCCCGTTCCCAGCCGTCTGGTGCAGCCTAGGCCAGAGGAGAGGTGCCGGTTCTCTGCCCACCCTTCCCAAAGGAGGGTTTGCAGCCTTTTCGTCTGGCGATCCGGCAGAACTTGGCCTGCGGGAAGCACCAAGTCCTGTGCTCTCTTGTCAGGCACTGCCCAAGATGGGCTGAACGGACAAGGGCAGAACAACACGCAACAGACAATAAACATTGTTCTTTTTAAAAACAATGACTACTTAAAATACAGTACAATAACATAACAACAACAGCAAAGCAGAGAAAGAGAGGAGGGGAGGGAGAGGGAGAAAGAAAAGATTTACAGTACAAATGAATTAAATAAATTGATCAGGGCAATTAATAGTTAGAATATATAATACTGATTAGCTTATATACCCCCACACTGGGAACTTCAGTTACATGGTCATTATTTATTATATCTACATATAACATTTGCTTTCTTTTCTTCTTTCCTCTCTGTCAGGAGGACCCCCCCCCCATCCAAAATTGCAGTGAATCATATAATAGATTGTAGCACAAAAAACCTGGACCAGGAGGGAAACCCCAGCCCTGCCCTTTAGCAATTCAGTCAGCACCTCAGAAAAGGCCTTCTAATTCAATGCATGTTCCTATAAGCTTGACCCAACACCACCGTTTCGTGCTTGAAGAATAAACCATGGCGGAGCGGTACGTAATTACAGTGTCAAAAATTCGAGCAGGGCTTGTATGTCGCCAATGATCAAATGAAGCGGAGAGGCTGTGGCCACGTAAGACCGGCAGCAAACCGAATCGATGAAAGCAGAGCCTCGTGACACTTGAGAGACGAGTGCGTTTGTTCTGGCCCACTTCACAACATTGGGAATCGCGTATCTGGGAGTGGAAAATAAAGGAGGGTTGCGATGGGAGCCCCTTCCCTCTCTCAAGCTCAAGTCCCCCCCTTGAAGGTCCACTGGAGGAGGCGCTCCTTTTATTCGGAACATTTTGATCCCTTTGAGGAAGTGGGAAAAGGCCGCTTTGCGGCAGGAGGGGACGCGCTCGTTGCCTGTTTACTTTGGCTCTCTGGAGAGCGGAGAGCAGTGTTTGCCGTTCTCCCAGGTGAGGGGGACAAGGGTCCCGAGGGGCAGCAAGCAAGTGCCCTTACGGTGCCGAAGGGCCTCCCAGTCCTTGGAACTCGGCCCGGAGGGCGCAGGTGGAGTGGAGAGGCAGGTTCTCAAGCGTGAGGAGCAAGGGGACGGCCCGGCGACGTGCCAGCCTCCTCTTCGCCAGTGCAGCCCCCGCCCGTTCCGTTCCACTCCATATACATTATAAATATAAACTGGTGGGCGGAAGGAGGTTATTCAGACAGGCAGGCCATGGAGCTCAACAAGAAGATGGAACTCGTGGCAAAGCAAGCCCGGCTCCCGGCACCGCAGGCGGTGAGTCTCCCTGTGCTGGGACAGCGTCGCTTTCTGACCTTAGATGTTGGGGTGCCATTTTTGATCAGCGGCAGGGGAATCTGAGCAGGGTGCAGAAAAGCGGGGCCACGCTCTTTGGGCTTTTTGGACGGAAGGCACAATTCTCCTTGCCTCTTTCGTGGCCTCCGCATGCATTTGTGGATGGATGGCCACGTCCTGAATCCCTGAACTAAAACCCTTTCCATGAAGCTGGGCAGCAAAGTGTGTAAATTCTGGCGTGTGCGTGTTAGAAATAAGGCCGAGCCCTTTCACTGGGTCTGGGCAAGCTGCAAAGCCCAAAATGAGCGTCATGCCAACAGCTGCGCTTGGAAAAGACGCTTGCTGATGTCCTTTGCCAGCTTTGCTCCCCAGGCAGGGGCCCCCACCGCCCGTCCTGCGTGCCTTTGTGTTGGGCTGAGCAAGCCACCGGTGCTCAACCGACAGTCAACCACACGACCCCGCAGGTGCTTCTGCCAGGAGCAAGGAGGATAAACACTTGGGGAAACTGAGATGCAGCAACTACAGATGGTGGCAGCCACGTTGGGGGTAACCACGAAGGCAGAGATGTGGCCTTCCAGATGTTCTGACTGCTACCTCCTTTCCCTTCCTCCTCGTGGCTAGGGTGGCTACCACTACAGTTGCCCACTAGGCCATTGTGCCTGTCTGTCCTGATCGCACCTTTGTTTCCCCTGGCAGCCCCAGTGTGCTGCTTTTCCCCAGCCAGGCAGCTGTGTGCCAGCCCGCCGACCTGAGCTTGCCACTTTGCGCCTCTGCGGAAGGGGACAGCGGGGACCCCAGGGGCGTGAGCCAAAAGAGGCGCCTGGGCCTTACGGTGCCACGAAATCCTCCGTCGCTTTGGCTGCAACAGATGATGAGGGCAGCCTGCTAGGAGACGCCACCCCTGCCGCTCTCAGGGCTGACTTCACGGGGCCGGCGGGTTTCTTCCGTGTGTCACAAAGGGCCTTCTCTCCCCCCCACCCCTTCCTCTCCCTCCACAGGACTACCAGGCACTGGAGCCGGAGCTGATCGGCTGCTGCCCCTGCCTCCCCTGCCTCCCCGGCTGCTGCGGCTGCTGCCCCTGCTGCCCCGGCTGCTGCCCCTGCTGCCCCGGCTGCTGCGGCTGCTGCCCCGGCTGCCCCGGCTGCCCCGGCTGCGGCTCCTGCCCCGGCTGCCCCGGCTGCCCCGGCTGCGGCTCCTGCCCCGGCTGCCCCGGCTGCCCCGGCTGCTGCCCGCCCAGCTGCGGCTGCTGCTGCCGGATGTGCTGCTCGGTGCCAAGGCTCCTCTGCCGGCTGCCCAAGCTGGCCTGCTGCCCCGTGCACCTGCGGAGGCTGCTGATGGTGGTGCTGGTCATTGTCCTCGTGGTGGTGGTGATTGTGGGGGCCCTCCTGATGGGGATATTCATCGTCCAGGCGCGCACAGAGGCCGTGAGTGTGGTGGGGGCGGGAGCAGGAAGGGCCCCCCGCTGTGCGCGGGCGGCAGGGGGAAGGCGTGGAGCCGCGAGAGCTGCCAAAGCATGTGGTGGCATGGAGGGCTCCTGCTCATAGAAGCATAAAACAGAGAGAGTCAGAAGGGGATCTCCCGGGCCATCTAGTCTAACCCCCGGCACCAGCCGGCTCCACTCACGACATGCCCACCATGTGCACATCCAGCCTGTCCTTGAACACCCGCACCGATGGGGCCTCAATGACCTCCCTTGGAGGCCCATTCCACACCCTCAGGGTCCTAACCGTCAGGAAGTGCTTCCTGGCATCCAAACGGAACCTGGGTTCCCTGAGCTTTGCTCCGTGGGAGCGCATCCTGCCTTCCTCCGCAGGGGAGAACAGGTCTCTGCCCCCCTCCGTGTGACACCCCCTCACATCCCTGTATGTCGCCAACAGATCCCCTCTGAGTCTCCTCTTCTCCAGGCTGAAGAGACCCAGTTCCCTCAGTCTCGCCTCATACGGCATCCCCTGCAATCCGGCCACCAACCTTGTGGCCCTACGCTGCACTGACTCCAACCTGGCTATATCCTTCCTGTAATGAGGGGCCCAAAACTGAGCACAATACTCCAGTTGTGGGCGCACTAGAGTCATATACAGTGGTAGTAACACCTCTCTCCATCTAGAAGCCACACTTCTGGCTATGCAGCCAAGGGTGGCGTTCGCCCTCTTGACCACCGCATCACACTGCTGGCTCATGTTTAGCCTGCAGTCAACCAGCACCCCAAGGTCCCTTTCACAAGTGCTGCTCTCCAGCCACCTGTCCCCTAACCTGTACTTGTGACACCCATTCCTATGCCCCAAGTGCAAGACTTTGCACTTATCCACACTGAACGCCACCCTGTTGTCTCCTGCCCACTTCCATAGCATGTCCAGAACCTTTTGGATCTGGAGTACCTGCTCCTCAGTTGTGGCCACTGCCCCGGTTTTAGTATCATGTGCAAATTTGATCAGCAGACTGTTCACCCCTTCTTCCATGTCATTGATGAAAAGATGAAACAGGATCGGCCCCAGGACAGAGCCCTGGGGGACCCCGCTTGTCACTGGCCGCCATCCTGATGATTTCCCACTGAGGGTTACCCTGTGCTTTCGGTCAGTCAACCATGCCTTAATCCACCGGACAGTGCTTTGGTTTATCCCAAAACTCCTCGGTTTCTCCACCAGGATATCATGGGGCACTTTGTCAAAAGCCTTGCTGCAATCCAGGTAAACCACATCCACTGCATCCCCTCCATCTAGCCACCTCGAAACCTTGTCATAGAATTCCACAAGGTTTGTCTGACAGGACCTGTTTTTGTGGAAGCCATGTTGTGTGGCCGCCAGCTCCCCTTCCCTGTCTAGCATCACTAGATCTCTCTCTATTATGAGCCTTTCCATTGTTTTTCCTACAATAGACGTAAGGCTAACCGGTCTGTAATTCCCCATGTCGCTTCTACTACCCTTTTTGAAGACTGGGACCACTGACGCCACCCTCCAGTCCTCTGGGACTTCACCCGTTCTCCACGAGGTCTCAAAAATGGAGGCAGGCGGGCGTGAGAGGACCCCTGCCAACTCTCTAAGTACTCTCGGGTGTAACCCATCAGGGCCTGGCGCCTTTGTAATGTCCAATGCCCTGAGGAGCCGCTCGACTTCAAGGGGGGTGACTCTAATCTGTGCCCCTAAGTCCCCGGCCTCATCTAATCTCCCATAAAGATCTCCCCCGTCATGCTTTGGGGAGAACACAGAGGCAAAATAGTCATTTAGCATCTGTGCCTGTTCCCTCATATCAGTCACTGGATCTCCTTCCTCCTTATTTAGTGGTCCCACCACTTCTCTCCCCTTCCTCTTCCTATTTACATGCTGAAAGAAGCCCTTTTTGCTGCTCTTGATATTCTTGGCAAGTCTCAGCTCGTAATCAGCCTTAGCCTTGCGAAGAATCCCTCTGCAATGGGCCTCCTCCTCCCGGTATATCCTTTTGTCTATTTCCCCCAGTATCCATTTCCTACGGAGGTTCCTCTTGCGTCTAATCCCTCTAACCACCTCCTTTCACATCCATGACGGCACTCTCCTCCGCCTCCCCACCTTACTGACTAGAGGTACCATCAAGGCTTGTGCCTCCAAAACCTCCCTTTTGAGTGCCATCCACCCCTCCTGAACTCGCTTGCCTTCCCGAAACCTATCCCAGGAGACTTTCTCCAGTCTGGCCTTCAGTTGGCCAAAGTTGGCCCTCTTGAAGTCCCAGCTTCTATGCTCGACCTGCTGCCCGTCCGCAGTCCCCTGATCTCAAAGCAAAGGATGGAGGGATCACTCGCATCCAGGGCTCCCCTAATCTGTACGTCATCTACCAGCTCCTCCCTATAGGTCAAGACCAAGTCAAGAAAGTTTCCCCCCCTCATTGCCTCTCGGACCCTCTGTGTGAAAACCCTCCCTCTATAGCTTCTAGGAAGCGACGTGACCTGGCCGTCACCGCCGAGTGAGTCTCCCGAGTAATATCCGGGATATTGAAATCTCCCATAATTACTGTGTCTCTCCCCCGAGATATCCTTAGAATCTGGCCTGTCAGGACATCATCCAGGGTCTCAAGCTGACCTGGAGGGCTATAACATACCCCCACTGTCAGGTCCCTTTCCCTGTCAAGACCCCTAAGTTTCACCCAGACTGCCTCTACCGAATCCCCATCTGTGCTGCATCCTGTCTCACTGCATCCTATCCCTTCCCTGACGTATAAAGCCACGCCCCCACCTCTCTTTCCCTTCCTGTCCTTTCTAAAAAGGTGATACCCTGCAGCCAGCCAGAGATGCCCTTTTCTCACAGACTCCATTCCATGCTCTCTTTTCATCTTTGGCACCCGAAATGACATGCTGGATTTCGTGGGCACTGAGCTGGCTCTGCACTCTCTGGGCTCTGTGGGGCTCTTTCCCCCAACCCCTTGGGCTTTTTTGAACTGTTGCCTCCTCCCCACCCAGCCTGTGGAGTCTCCTCCCTTTGGACAGGGTGGTGACCTTTGGGATAGTCAGTCCTCTGATCCATAGTTGGAGAATGAATTTGCAAGTAGTTTGCAGATGGACTATGCGCCTCTGAGCATGGACAGATTGCCTCCCCTCTGCTACGTATGTAGCAGAGCGCAGGCTGGGCTATGAGGCAAGGTTTCTCAGTGAGATTCTCACGCTTCAGCAAATTCATCAAATTACTCTCAAATCCAGTAATTAGTCCCCTGGCCCATATCAAACCAATGGAGAAAGTTTTCTCTTAGCTTCATTACCATCAAGTAGATGACCTTTTTTTGGGAGGGGGTGGATTATGCAGGCTCAGCCGTTCCGCCCTGGCTGGCCTTCCCCTTGAAAGTTGCCCCCGCAACACACACACACAAAGGTTCCAGCTGGGCCCCTCAGCGCCCCCCCCCCCCGGCCTGCCTGTGCAAGATGCCGCGATCGATCGTTGCTGCAAGCCCATTCGAGGCCCACGCCTGACCGTGCGCCTTCTCGCTCCCCCTGCAGCTTCTGCAGATGGCATTTGATGGCCCAGAAGGGGGCTGGGCTCAGCTGAGCTTCCCCCTGGAGATGGAAGAAGCGATCACTTTCTACGTGGAGGAGGGAGCCCGTGGCCCAGCCACGGTCGTTTATGATCTCAACAAGGTGAGGCGCAGCGTCCGGGCGGCCAGGCAGGTTTCTTTCGCTCGGGGATGCGGCATCCTGCCACTGGTGCTCAGCAGCCGAAGGCGGAGAAGGTCCGGGTCCAAATTCAACCCTCAAAGGTTGGGTCCATCCTGCCAAATTCCTGGCCGGCTGCTGTGTGCATGGGGATGAGCTGGAGGAACATCTTTCATTCCAGGAGTTGGACCCCTGGTCCAGCTAGCCCAGTCGTGACTACTTCCGGGGGCAGATTCTCTCCAGGAGGTCTTTCCCACTTTTCCAAGCTCCCTGGGAACGCGCCCTCGATAGCCCAGGGCCTTCAAGGTGCGCTGGATCACCCTTCCCATCGGGCTTTATTGAGAGCCATGCTAACACTTACATAATGGAGAACGGGTCGCACATTCCAAGACACAGGCAAAACGCAATTTTTTAAAAAGAATGAAAGAACCATGTTCCTTTTAACATGAAGGCAAGGGAGGTCCTGTGGGATATCAAACATGCTGGAAAGGACAGAAATGAAGAGCTGTGTTCTGTGTGCTCCTAGCTGCTGATCGGCTACAAACCTTCACAAGGCGATACCTGCTACATCACCAGGATGGACAAGGAGAACATCCAAGGCCTGGATGCTGCTGTGAAGGAATTCCAGGTCAGGAGTCTTGCAGGACTCAGAGGCAGCTGTGGAGTGGTCCTGGGAGACACGGTGTCGGTGGGGGAACCGCGGTGGCTGGCCAGCGCTGCAGCTGGCTCACGTGTGGGGAGCCGCGGGGTCGTGTACAGGTGCGGACCTTCCTAGGCAGAATGGCAACATGGTCCCGCCTTGGTTGTCTTCCGCTGCAGACCCAGCCACCCGTCCCGTCCCCCACGCAGAGGCGGGAGAAGAGGCGGGGGCAGCAGGAGGCTCTGCCCTCCTCCCTGGTGGATCGCGCCACCTTGGGTGCCACGCTTAACATCCTCTGCCGTCGTGTCCCCATCCTGTGGGCTTAGGAAGGTGAGTGTGGTGCCGTGGACCCGGCTCATCTAGGCGCTGAGCAAGTATCACTTCACGCCAGAGCATCTTCCACACTGGGCGTGCAAACACCCTCAGGCACATACGTGTGTGCCACTCCGTGCATAGAAGGTTGGTCAAGACTTGCCCAAAGTCCCCGAGCAGCTGATTGTCTTGTCTCCGTCACTGACAAGCCATGGTGGTTTGTTACTATTGTTGGTCTGCCACGTCGTCTGAACTCGGCTGCAGCATTTCAGCATAGTAAGTTTGATCTTAAGAAACCACAGTGAGAAACCATGGTTTGCTCCATGCGCCCTTGGCTCGCTCTGTGGTCTGAGCCCAGAATCGTGGTTTCCATCATCCCGTCATGCAGCTACCACAGAGTCCCATGGAAAGAGTGGACACTCTGTCATCATCCAGCCTCTGGATGCAAACCAAGGAGGAGGGGCAGGTGACTGGCAGGGAGGGCGCTCCAGTGCGGCACTTTGCCCTGGGAGGGAGGCCCTGCTGGGTGGGGAGCCTGCAGACACCTACCGTTTTCCTGTTGTGCGGGATGCTTCCTCCACTGCACTTTCCTTAATTATTACGTTGAGAGCTGGAAAAGCTGCATGTGAATAACACCAGTGGCAACTGTGATTGGCTTGGGCACCGCAGAAGGGATGGCTTGCGGGGAAAGCAGTCTCAGGCTAAAGAGCAAACAAGAGCGATCGCTGCCTTGCTTGCAGGCCAACGGCCTCTCTCCTGGCCCGCCCCGAAGCGCCCCTGCCATCGCGTTTGCTCGGGTCTGAATTCACGGGCTCAGCCTCCTTCCCAAGGTCTCCGGGGGAAGGGGGAACATCTCAGGGGAGGGGTCAGAACGATCGTTGGAGATGCTTGGCAGGGCTGGACCTCCTGCCATAGCTCCACCCCGCGGCCCTGCCCGTCACAGGGAGGCCCCCCCCCCCCCCGGGTGGCACCACGGGGCCCCATCCACCGCCTCCCAGCTGCTCCGCCCGAAGTGCCAGGCAGCTCCCCTTGTTCCCTCCCGAGTCTGAGCCTTGGGCGACCGGGCCCCTTCCCACACACCACAGGAAGACCCCAACTGCCTGCAGCGGCCCCTCCCTCCCTGCGGCCCCTCTGTGGGCTGCCAGCGCTTGGTCCCGTGAAGCCCGTCCTGTGAATGTCTCGCCTAACGTGCCTGCCTGTTGCTGCCTTGCAGGATCACGACAGAAGAATGAGTTCCGCGCCCCTGGACCGCTCCCAAGTGCACCAGGAATGCTGCTTCTCCGGGGCGCTTCTGTGCAGTCCTCGGTGGGGTGGGGCTTCGGTGGGGCTTGTTTCCAGGCGGATCACCCAGCTAATGCAAATAGAGGCTTGGCCAAGCGCAGCTTCGGATGTCAGAGGTGGGCTCCGAGGCAGGAAGCTCACGAAGCACGCTCCTTCTGTTCAGGGTATAATTTTCCCCGCGAGCTGGGCCCACGAAGGCCCGGCTCGAAGGCAGCAGCGGTTTGCTGGTGGGCGATGCATTTGCGGAAGGGCCCTGGAAGGCTCGGGGGCTCTCCCTGGACTGGGGAGATGGGGCCAGGCTCGCAGGGACACGGTGCCAACGAAAGGGATCCCTGATGCCAGCAGCCAGCGTTCCCTGTTCCCGCTGAGCCTCACATTGGCTGGGGGACACGAATCTCCCCACAGCCTCTGGCGGCTAATCCTGGGCAGCTTGGGCAGGAAGGGGCAGAAGAGGCCCCTTGGCTTGGCGAGCATTCCTGCTCCGAGCCCAGATGGAAAGCTGCCTGCCTGCATGTCTGGCTCTGCTACAGGCCAGTGCAGCTCCCCTTCTCTGTCCCCACTCTGCTCTAGGGTGGATGCACCCTGGCAGAAGGACACCCTGGGGACAAGAGTTGCCCTTTCCCACACCGGCACACATAACAGTACCCCAAAGGCCCCTTGCCCCATGCCCCTGGTGAAGGGTGCCTTTGCTTGCTAAAAATCCCGCGATGTTTCGCTCAGAAGGGGGAGAGGGAGGAGGAGGAGGAGGAGGAGGAGGAGGAGGCAGGGAGAGTGCTCTTCCTCATTTCCCAGGTCATTATCATGCCAGGTTGCACTGCAGTGAGATGTGAAAGCGCTTAAATAAATGATGGAAGCCCACTTACACAAACGGAAAGAGGCAGCAGGGCAATCCCAGAGGATGGTAAAAAACAGATGGGAAGATGGCGTCTTTCTTTCCAAGGGGTTCCCACCTGCTGGCAAGCAGCAAATTTGAGAAAAGCCAAGAGATAATAGAATCATAGAATAGCAGAGTTGGAAGGGGCCATGAAGGCCATCCAGTCCACCCCCTGCTCTTGCAGGACACCACATTACACTGTCCCGCTCAAGTGGCTGCCCAGTTTCTCCTTGAATGTCCCCAGTGTGGGACATTCTCTGGGCAGCTGGTCCCACTGTCGTATCCCTCCAACAGTGAGGAAGCTTTTCCTGATGTCCAGCCTGAATCTGGGTTGTTGCAACTTGAACTGATTATTCCGTGTCCTGCACTCTGGCATCAGCAATAAGAGACCTTGACCTTCCTCTTTGTGACAGCTTTTGAGGTCCTTCTAGAGGGACACCATGTCCCCCCTCCGTCTTCTCGTCTCAAGGCTGAACATGCCCACTTCTCTCAGTCCCTCCTCACAGGACAGTGTTTCCAAACCCCGGATCATTTTTGTTTCCCTCTGCTGGACCCTTTCTCATTTACCTGCATCGTTCTTAAATCTTGGTGCCCAGAACTGGACACGGTATTCCAGGTGAGGTCTGACTAGCGAGGGGTAGAGGGGAACTGCTCCTTCTCGTGATGCAGCTAGTTTTCTGCAGGAAGAGATGAGCTGGTAGGCTGGGAGACATCCCTGAGGTGACCAAAGCCGGTCTTGGTTGCCCCACTTTGGCCATGCAGTAGCTTTCCTGAGAAACATTTCTTCCATACTCACTCCTCTTCAGAACGCCTTCCATATTTTTTAAAGGATTCCAGGCCTGGCATGTTGGTGTTTATGTAATGGGCAGTTTTCGTACAGAGGAATGTGAGATCCACTCTGGGGTCTGAGGTGGTACAGTCTGGCGCTAGGCCAATACTCCGATGCCAGCGCAGCCCAAGGAACGCAGACGGCCAGGCTGGGCTGGGCTCGGGGGGCTGGCGGTCCTCACCAAGTTGCATACGATTCACCTGATCATACGGCAGCCCAGTAGCATCTCTGGATCTTATTGCAATCTCTAACGTGCCCCTCTGATAAAAAATCAATGCAGGAAATCAACACCTTCCAATAATATGGAAAGCATAAAAGACTGTCTACACAGAAAATGGGTTGGAATTACCCAGTAACACTTCACTCCAGCTATTAGAACGAGCTGGCATGAGCATGATCCCAGGCTCCCAGTGTGGCAGTTTTCTGGAAGAAGAGAGCCATGTGTGTAAGCAGCCGGCCCGCTTTAGCCGTGGCCTGTGGCAGCTGGTTTCAGGACAGCTGACCTTAAAGATCACAGTGGAATGCGCACGGGGGGGGGGGGGGGGAGACAAGTTGGGTGCCAATTCTCCAAGGTAGTTTTTCGCAGATCTTCACGTGTCCACATAAACTCACCCACAATGCAAGTGCCAGAGGCTTTCCCAGAGAAAATGGCCTCGACCTCTGCACTGGCTGATGCATAAATTACAGCAGGAAAGGGGAAGGGGGCTTATCAAAACCCACCAGTTTCACCCCAGACTCCCAGCCATTCCAACCCATTCATGGGTGAGGGGAGGAGCTTCCCTGCTGTAATTCTAGCAATGTGTTGACCTTCTTAAACAGACACATACCTGCACTGGGATAATGTTCCCAGGTAACGCAGAAGCAGCCAGGCGGCCTGTACTGAACGGGAGCTGCTTGCTAACTAGCAATCTTCTTGCTAAGGAAGCATTTTGATCCTCAGGATGTTCTTGACCTTTGCTTGTCTTTCCGACTGGGGAGCATGGGCATTGGCCATGAGAAGGCGAGAACCGCCTTGTCTTGGTGCGACTTTCTGGGAGTCCTCTGGTGTTGCCTGCAGGGGGCACCCTTGCGCCTGCAATTTGCTTGGAAAACTAAGTGCTCAGCCAGAAGCTGCATCACCTTAATCGCCTAGCTGCTTGCAGGAGCTGACGAGTTTGCCGCATTGTTCAAATTGTAAAGTCCTTTTAAATAAAAGCATTTAAATTAAATGTGCCAAGCAAAGTCGCTTTATTACATTGCAAAGACTGCAGAGACTGGCACAGGATTACAGTGCTGTAAATAAAAATTAAACTTTGATTACTGCTTGCCCTCTTTAGATCCAGCAAGGGAAGAGAACATGAAGTGGCATTAAGAACAGCTGCATTTTGACATATTTATTGCAGATGCCAGAATAGAGGAAGTTTTTCATTATTTATTTTCATAACTTAACCAAATACTGCCTTTAAAACAGCAAAACAAATAGATTATCCAACTGCAGGAAGCAATTTTAAAAATACATTGCCAAGCATTCCAAGTCCCACCCAAGAAGAATGCCCAGGGCTGAAGAAGTGAGTGAATCAATCCAAAAGGTGGTTTTAAAATGCATTAAATAAGGATAATGCTAACATGTTCCAGATGTTTGGTTTGGACATTTAATTTCTCACTGTGCTGAAGTGTGGCAGTTGAAATTCTTTTGGAAAGAAAAGGCTGTGGCTGCAACAGACGATCACAGCAAAAATGCATCTCTCAGCCCCTCTTCAAAGATGTAGAGATCAGTGGGTCACAGCCCACCGCCTGCCAGCTATCAGACCCCCAAATGGAAAATGGAACTGGCCAGCCCCGCTCCTCATGGCCCCGTGGCAGCAACCCCGGTTTCTAGCTGCACAGCAAAAAGCCTGCATCAATGCGCCATTGAGCCTACTCTACGCAAACACCAGACTCCGTCGGGCAGTCTTTCCCCACCTGATGCCCTTGAGATGCAGGGGGCTACAACGTCCCATGTCCCGCAGCCAGGCCCTTGTGCTTTCTAGCCGAATCTGGCCCTTCAGCCC